ACCAATATTATGGCTATAGGTAGCAACACCCCTGAATTAACTACTTGACCACTCAACTTCTCAGCAACTCCACACCAAGCCTAAAATCAACGTCTCCCAATTATTTGTAACGGCACAGACCCTATTGTGAATTGGGTATTAGTCGTCTTTTGACATTAACATCAAAGGTCATTCACTTGTGTTAATTAGTTACTAATTACTGCATCTTACGCAGTATCATGTATTTTCTATACAGTTTTGCAATCCATTGTTACCCCCACCTTGGACAGGAATTTTTAAATGGGCCCAAGGTTATATTAATGCTCAAGATAAATCAAGAGTAATTATCCACCATTATAATCAATAAACATTGATGATGTCCAAGTAAATGTATGCCAGCTAGGTAATATATTTTACATTAGCCCAATAATGTGTATTGATTTTTTTGGCATTTCATTTATGTCCATGATAATACTAAAACACAGGTATTAAAATAGGTTGACTATTTTATGTTATTAAGTCTAACATCTGCAAAAGTTTTATGTCAACCATCATAATACCCATTATTCTCTTACCAGTATTTTGGTTTGAGTTATTAAAGAACTTCTGAACATTATTTCTTTAGGACACTGTGTTATATCATTGTGATAAAATAGTGATGTAAACATACTCTATAGTCTTCACCCTGGAAAAGTATTTAATCTTTAGCAACACATATTGTATAATATTAGAAATAGGTTGGGAAATATAACTTTACTAATACTATTATCAGTTGCCCCCTGAAGTCAGCTGACGATGAGTATCACGATGCATAGCAAAACACAATCAGATGAAGAAAAATCATTTAACTATCTCCTGGAACAAGTGGCTTCTTCCAAGAATTGGGACCTTGCTGTAAGCAGCTGAATTTTTCCTATTCTACTATAAACCCAGTGGCGGATCCAGGGGAAGGGGGAGTTCAAGGGGCTCGGACGAATCCCCCCTCTGTGAAGAAACCCCTCATTTGACCAGGAAACAAGGGAGAGTATGCCTTTTTAACATTACGGCCAACTCCTATTCAAGACCCCTGTTAAGTGGACACTAATTTTGGTCCTGAAGCGGTCCCCTTATTAGGGATTCTACTGTATTTCTTTTTATTTTCAATATTATGTTGCCAGTATTAGCTGGTCCAATCAGATCCTTTGCCAGATTCTGTTATCATCACATGACTGATTTTTGTCATGTTGTTCTGACTGTCTTCCCCAGGGGTGTTGTTAAATCAAATTCTTGTTTTCCTGTAGGAATAAAAAAAAGAAAAAGCGATTTATGCTCTCCTTTATAAACATTAATGTCCTTATTTTTTACTTAAAATCTGAAAGGTAGATTTTATAGGATGATTGAATGAAGTTGAATGTGCTAATATTGTTCATGAAACAATGTTAGGATTTTGGGTAACATATTTATTGGTGGTCTTCTTGTGGCCCTCTTGGCAACCCCCTGGTTGCAACTTTTAACACCTGTTTAGCCAGCCCTATTGACATTTGTTTTGCCAGCCCAATCTTACGCTGGCTTCATCAGATGTAGTACAAAACAATGGACTGATGAAGCCAGCATAGACTGGCTTCATATGTCTATAAATTGCCACCAGTGTTTTAATTTCATTTGTCTACCAGATTAACTCTATCTACTATTATATTTAACAAATAAATATGATTTTTTTTTTATGTCAGACCTTCTGTGATTCCTCCTATTTAAATTCTTGTATGATGCAAAATCATTCAAAATGTGATGTACTTTTTGAATTCTGCAAGAAGTGTTATTGTATTATATTTGAATAGGATAAGAATGTACAGTAGCAACCAATGGAGTTATAAATCGAAATCATTTTTTCTAAAGCTCAATAAATTATAGGCCTACATACTTGCAAGATTTTGTGTGCTGTCAGCTACACTTCATCAGACAATGAACTGCGGATGTTGTCAGTTCCGGTCGCTAAGTGGAGTGCGACCTCTATCATCGGTGCAAGGCATCTGTCGTTTTCTGGATTTAAATGGAGTTAATAGTTCTTTTTATTTGAATATGCAAGAAGTAATTGCGTGATATTAAAGAGATCAATGTGACGAAAATCAATTTTCGATAACGGTAACCGTGATCTGCATTGTTTTCAATTGATTTGATCAAGAGTTACTGTATTCCAGGAAGCTTATTATACAACAATAGGGGATTAGCGTAAACATTAACCAACTAACTATTATCTTTAAAAGTGTAGGACAAAAGTGGTTGTAGACATCAATTGATGTCTACATCCACTTTTGTCCTACAAAGTGGATGTAGACATCAAATCAATAGAGATTTTCTGATTATATTGGTCTATTAAATTAGATTCATGTATTTTTTTTATTTTTATTTATTTATTTTTTTAAATCATCTCTTGGACTTTTAAACAGTTAAAATGTTAGTATTATCACTGATTTCAAACAGTTTCTTTAAGGATTTATGATAGTCGTATGGAGAAGAGTCTCCATTAGTCATTAAAATAAAAATGATAGGACTAAAATATTTTTGAGAAAAACATATTTTTTGTTATTGTGGTTTGTGTTTCTGTCATAATAAATAATGATTTATTATTTTTGTCTGTAAATAGCGAATAGAGTCTTGTATTATATTGTATTGTTTTGGTCCAAATCTTGTGTAGAGTACAGATTCTAATTTCAGCCCCCAAAAGGTACCATGTACATGATGTACCCTATTAGAATTCAGATAGCGAGGATTAAGGTATTGATCCACAAATTGCACTCTTCTCATTCAAGTTCCTCTTCTTTGTATGGAGTCCATTCCAGGGTCATGACTCCTTCCAATCTTTTTAAGAGATCAATAAACATTATTCTGCAACCCATTCATGGCTCGATACCACTCTTTCAAAATCGTTTTTGTGCAGGTTTGTTGCTGAGTCGATGAAAAGGGGAGGAGGTATTTAATGAAGTCCTGACAGGATCTGACAGAGACATTACAATTTAGATTGATGTGTGGCTGAAAGTTAGTGGTTTGAATGCATGACTTCTAATCCCAGTGTTCCAGGTTCAAATCCTGACAATATTACAGGATATTTTCTGATACTACGTACATGGTTTAAAAGCCTGCTTATACTTATAAGAAGTTTTTACACTAGGACGATTCGATAACGATTTATCGTGTATACAATAACAAAATATAAAAATATTTTTAAAAATTAAATCAGATAACGTCATAATCATGGAAAAACGATAAAATCGTTGCTACTACTGCTATTTTAATGTTTTTCCATGATTATGACGTCATCTGTCATTTGTCAAAATATGTTGTTATCGTATAACTGGTAAATTGTTATCGAATTGTTCTAGTGTACAAACTTCTATTATTTCTTTTATTTTCTATATGAACAATTGCTTTTTAGCTTTTTTATCGTTATCGTGTAAACATGCCTTTATCCTGTAAGAGTAACTTATTTTCATTCGTATATATATATATAATCATCCCCAGTTCCGAAAACAATGTATCTCCAGGGGTCAATGGTGAAACGATCGTAGTGATCACACATATAATAGTATGACGCTAGGCATGATCAAATGAAAAAAGCATAAAATAGCTTTCATGTTTAAATGCAAAAACAGGGATTTGCTGCATAGGAAGAATAGTACAAAGGAGCATCTTGCCTACTTTGTGTGTGTCCATTGTTTGTATCATTTCCTTCGCTTCTTCACCGACTAGTGCTAAGATAATTCAGTAGTAGACTTATTGAGATGTTTGACTAATGAGCTAGGAATCAGAGTTCAGCGTAGAAAATATAGTAATAGTGGAAAACAAGAAAAACTGGCTTTTAGTTTTGTCTTGCATTGCTTTGAATACCATTCATCATTTCTGTTGCTTTTGGAGATGTCTGAAGGTATGAGACGTTTTTTGTCATTGATATTTTTTAGAAGTGTTAAATTATTGTTGTCACCTGTTGTTGTGTTGCTAGGTTATTTTTTGTATCACTAAGGGTGTGTTTCTACTGATAAACACAAAATAATTGATTTTTTAAAACCGTTTTTTTAATGAGTACCAGACAGCCTGCTGGCGTTGCAACTGCATTTTTGATTTTTCGGTTTTCGTGTTGGAAATTACGTCACCATTTTGTTTGTACAACACGTTGTTTTCCTACTGTATAGGATATAGTACCTTTCTCATTCCTGTCATGATGACTAGGAGTAAGATACGGTGTGGGGCGAGAAGGCAAATGTTTTTGGCTGTGCTCATCGGCACAATTATGAACGACGACCAAACAAGTAGGCCCAAAAGAGCGGAGAGTCCTAGGCCCAATATCCCCCCCCCCACACAAAATAATTACAAAACAAATTTGTCACTCCTCATGTTTGTTGACGTTTTTAGCTTGTAGGCCTAGGACATGAACAAGACAACAAATTTTTTTTTTAAAGTTTGCGCCTAATACGATCTAGTCTTTGCAGTGATTGACCCGGAGGTCACATTTCACCTGATAATCGCTTTTTTTTGTGTTGCAGCTAAAAGGGGCACAGCCAAAATCGGTTATTTGCCGTTCAAACACGCTATCCATTGCGTGTTTTTAATCAATTTTTTTTAAATCACTTTTTTCAAACTGGTCCCGTTTCTACTGCGAGAATAAAAGCGATTCTTTCCAGTAGAAACAGGCCCTTTAGACCAATTCAGCGCCGTACGATGTAGCCGATGCGATTTATCTTCGTACGATATAGTCCGGCGCAATTTATCTTTGGGGACAGACCTGACACAACAAAAAAAATTGCATCTGGCCGCGTCCTACATCACTGTCTGTTTTGGCCTTAAGCAAGCTGCAAATTTTGCTCATTAAATACAAGTTTTATTGCAATTCATTGAAAGTGTTTAACGCTGCAGTACTAGAATTTTTTTAAGTATCAAAAAATCAATCTTGAATGTGACAATAATTTTGTATTTTTTAAATAGTATTATGAAGATTTCTTTCAGAGAATTGTATTTATTTTTTATTTATAATCATGTTTTTTTTGTAGCAAATGAAAAAATACCAGGTATACAGCCAAAACCAATAATACGAGCACAGAAGGCTGAGAATATACGACAGTGTTTGAACTTACTGAAGAAAAAACGAACTGATCTTGAAGGAGTGGATGCAGAAGGTAGGATAATAATTGTTTGAATTTTGTTTTGTGGCTTTTTCCTTTTAAAATATTAGGTACAATGATTTATGGAGGGAATAAATCTGAAATATTGAATTAATAAGAGAACAATGCTGTTGTTATGATCATGAATTTTCAGTTTCCCAGTGGGAATAAACAGCAACCTTAAAGTGCAACCAACAAACTTGTTTCAAATATAAAACATAATTTTTTAGTAGATTTCTTTATGGCTCTGGAGGAAAAATAAGCATATTTGACAAAAAACTCTTGATAACAACGAAAGGAAACGTACAAGAAATTATACCATGAACCTAGACTAACTCTAGATGACTAACCAAACCAAACCAACACCGCACTGTTTATCGGCAGTTTAAGGCACAATGAGATACACTTTTTTGAATAATTAAATACTGGGGTGGGAGGTGCAAAACCAAGCGGTTACGCAACTTTTTCGACCAGTTTTTAAATATTCAAAAATCCGTATCTCATTTAACCGTCCCCAAGCTTTTCATCAAATATGCTTTTTGTGTCTTAGAAAAATAATTTGTACAGTACAACATATCAAAAAATTGTTTTCTTCCGGAGCCTGCTTTAAGGGATTACTGTTGATTCCTTTAAGTGTAATATAAATTTTATCGACTTTACTTTACTTAGCATCTATTTAAATACAATTACAACATAAAGTTACAGTGGCATACAAAATATAGAGCAAAATTGCCTGTTTTTAAATGGAGAATGGGTGCGTGGACGACCCATAAAATCAACAAATGTTAATTTATTTCCGATATTAAATTTTTTCTTCTGTTTTATATACCTCTTTGGTTTTTGTGTCTATGCCCCCTCGGGGCAAAGGCACTATGTTGTCAGCTGGCAGTTAAAGGGCTGAAAGGGTAAATCTGGTGGAGGTGCATGATGGGTCATGTGTCATCTTAAGTACCTTATTACTGTGGGCCACACACGGTCCTGCTGGGAGCCTATTTTTTTTTTTTTTAAATAATAGGCCTGAAACCTTATTACTTTCCAGAAGAAAACACATTTGTATTGAATTATGAATTGTTATTTTCTTCTCAAATCAACAATTGATACGACCCACATTACAGGTTTCTTTAAAACTTAGATGTCACAGAGTGTGAATAAATCAATAAACAGGGCCTGACTTGATATTAATATTTTACCATTGCACAAGCCTCATGGATAAAGCTGTCATTCCAAAAGACAGTTGATTGATGACATGCAGTGCCGTTGTCATGACAACAGAAATCAAACACCTGTCTAAGTCCTCCCAGCACTCATTCATCCTGACCCGTTGCTTTCATCAAAACTCACTATAGAAATCTTATGAAAGATCATTAAAAGGGAAGGGGTTGAATCATTTATGATCCCTTATATAACCTTTCACCTGTGTCACCTGACCCCACAAGTGTATTAAGAGACATAAGAATTTAACAAAATAGGTAAAGTTGTAGACTCCTCAGTAATCTTGTAATGTAGAGAATGTGATTGTTTGTTATGATATTTACATTAAGTAGTATATTCACTTTACGTTAAGTAGTAATACTCAAATTTTATAGTACTCAACTATGGAGTTGATGGTACTTGAGTTAAGATACTATAATACTCACATTCTAAAGCTCTGTCTACTCTATAACATTTTCTTTGACAAAAAACTGTTGTATGACCATATAAAGCCATGATATGTATATATGGTCATGATTTGATGTCATCATGACCATATGTGGCAAAGACAAGCCAAACCAGTCACTCGTCACAACAATTGATTTTTAGTTATTAATACAGGGTTAAACAGTAATTATGGGAGCTATAAAATGGTAAAAGAATCATTTACTGTAAATCCGACATTTCGTTATGAAGTTACGGTAGTTTAAACATACAGCTGTTTAAAGAACAATATTCGAGAAATCAGACTTTAAAGTTTAGGATTTCAGGCATTTCTCAGGCAGAAACCATCACTAAATCATTAAAAATTGTTGTTTTAACACGGAAAATGGGGATAATATCAGCATAGCATGATCTTTATTGCTGCGAAGCAGCCAATTCATATTCTTGACAGCAATTTGACCTCTGAAAGGTCATTGTTTGTCAAAAAACCTGCGCCTAAGACAACTGAAAAGCGGAGTTTCCTTCTTTGTTCTGCCGGGTAAAATCAATTACTTTAGGCGACGTTTGTAGACTAACCTACTCGTACCAACGTCCGCATGTCGCGATGCTGGAGTACTATTCAGCGTTTTTATTATATTTCTAGGTTTCCTATTTCTGCGTTTAATCGGCTCATGTCTCAGCCACAATATTTAGC